ACATCCCACTGCATGAAGACACTGGAGAGACTGGTCCTGGGACATCTCCGCTCCACTCTGAGCCCAGCGATGGACCCACTGCAGTTCGCCTACAGGCCGGGCATCGGAGTAGAGGACGCCATCATCTCCCTCCTCCATCGCTCGCTGTCCCACCTGGAGAAACCCGGCTCCACTGTGAGGATCCTCTTCTTCGATTTCTCCAGTGCCTTCAACACCATCCAGCCGTGGCTTCTCAGGACCAAACTGGAGACAGCTGGAGTGGACTACGACCTGTCCCAGTGGATCCTGGACTACCTCACAGACAGACCCCAGTTTGTGAGAACCAGGGACTTTGTGTCGGAGGTCCTGACCTGCAGTGTGGGGGCCCCCCAGGGAACTGTACTCGCTGCGTTCCTCTTCACCCTCTACACTGCGGACTTCAGACACAACACGGGCGGTTGTGTTCTACAGAAGTTCTGACGACTCTGCCATCATCGGACTCAGCTCCGAGGACGATGACACAGAGTACAGAGGAGTAATTCAGGACTTTGTAGACTGGTGTCAGCGGAACCACCTCCTCATCAACGCGGGGAAGACCAAGGAGATGGTGGTGGATTTCCGCAGACGTCACTCTGCCGCTCCAGCTCCAGTGAACATCCAGGGAAGGGACATTGAGAGAGTGGACTCTTAAGTACCTGGGTGTTCATCTGAACCACAAACTGGACTGGACTCATAACACAGAAGCCCTCTTCAAGAAGGGCCAGAGCCGCCTCTACCTACTGAGGAGGCTTAGGTCTTTTGGAGTGCAGGGGCCACTCCTGAAGACCTTCTATGACTCTGTGGCGGCATCAGCCATCTTGTACGGTGTGGTCTGCTGGAACAGCAGCATCACAGAGAGGGACAGGAAGAAGCTGGACAAGGTCATCAGGAAGTCCAGCTCAGTCCTGGACTGTTCCCTGGACACAGTGCAGCAGGTGGGGGACAGGAGGATCCTGAGCAAACTAACATCTATGCTGGACCATGACTGTCACCCCCTGCTGGACACTCTCTGCTCTGGAGAGCAGTTTCAGTGACAGACTTATTCACCCTCGCTGTGTGAAGGAGAGGTTCCGTAGGTCTTTCCTTCCTGCTGCTGTCAGACTGAACAATAAGAACTGCTGAGCCTGTAAATTTCAATCATCTGTAAATAAGTAAATTCTTAAATCATGTGCAATGTGCAATACTGCTCCTTCAGAATGTCACAGAACAATGTCACTTTACCTTATGGCACTTTACCTCATCTACTTATTATCCTGCACTATTTAACTGTACAGTATATAACTGCACTACTACTACATGTATATATTTGTTGACTGGTATTGAAGTATTTCTAGCATCTACAGCCAGTTATGCTAGTTAAGAAACATAGCTACTGCTAATTTTGTATATATTGTGTGATCCCTGTGTGCTCTTACTACTGTCCTGTATGTGCGCTGCAACAACAAAATTTCCCCACCGTGGGACGAATAAAGGAACTCTTATCTTATCTTATCTTAAATCAGAGAAAAGTCAAAAAGCATAATATGGCACCTTTAAGCTTTTGTTTCCAAGCAGGTATTTCAATAGCATCAGTGCCTGGTCCAATGAGTGCAAAGTAATTCCTTTCATGTTGTTTTTGTTGCTTTATAAATGATGCACTCATCCTTCTCCACGTTGTTCTGCTGACTTAAGTGAGTTTGACGGTGCATGTGTTGCACGGCTGTAGAGCTGTGCTGCGCAGCGGTCCAGCGAAAGGTGTATTCTCACAGATGGGCTTCCCTCAGGCTAAACGCTCATCATTCAACATCCTGAGCTACTGTTTTAGAGCCGGCTGTTGTTGGAACTGCAGGGATTGGAGCTGGATGTGTTCTCTTTATGATCACAGGATTCTAGGAGAATGTATTGAGAAACAATTCAACTTGACATGTTATTAATCCAGGTGTGGAATGAAGAATTAAGTAACCCTACAATGTAAATGTCTTACAGTAACAAATGAATAATGATGTATGTGATTTTATTATCCTCAACATTGAAATCATAACAAATCTTGATTTAAAACATCAATTTTATTTCGCTTTATCCATTTCCTTACACGGGAAGAGCTTGGAGTAGAGCTGCTGCTTCTCTATGTCAAGAGGAGCCAATTGAGCTGGTTTGGTATCAACATTATAAGAAAAAATAATGTGAGATTATCAAATTCATGGTGTGCCATGTGATATTTAGCAATGACAAAAGTATGTCCAGCTCGTCCGTGTGGCAAGGGAAGTCTGGGCGTCTCTGGGCGTCTCTGCTTAGATTGCTGCCCCCGTGACCTGGCAACGGATGAAGCGGAAGAAAATGGATGGAAAAGTGTGCCACGGCTCAAAAAGTTTGGGCAACACTGGCCTACTGGACGCTTCCCTGGGGAGGTGTTTCGGGCATGTCCCACTAGGACAAGACCCTGGGAAGGATACTGTATGCTGGAAAATAGAAATTGGAACTATGCCTGTTGGCAGGGGTCTGAGCTCTACAAGTGCGCTTGCTCTTGTTATTATTGAATGCTCTAAGTGAATCCCACTTGTCTGTTGAACAGCAAAGCTTGAGGGATAACTCAGTTGCATTTACTTTCCGACCTTGGGATCTCTGTAATATATAATATGGAAGCGTGCCACCACAGGCTTCACTGAACAAGCACTAATGAACTGTTGTTAAGGACTCACCCCCTCTGTTCTCAACCTTTAAGTTTGTAATTGCATCACTTGACCTGTTGTGATATCACATAACATCAGTACTGTGTTAGTGCTGTCTGACAGTGTGCAGCTTGGCTCATGACCCCAGCCTGCTGCGGCCGACCTGCAGAGCGTACTGTCCGAGCCTGCAGTGCACTACATAACACATAGTTGTTGGCATATTTGAGGGAGTAAGTCATGTTTATTTATGTAGCGCATTTTACAGACCAAGGTCACCCAAAGTGCTTTACAATGTTCGGAGTTCAGATATTGTTCCAATCATTCCACACACGGTGATGACAGAAGCGAGTCGCCGAACACACTGGACCATCAGCTCCAATCAACACCATCCATCCACTCTCTCATCAACATTCATACCTATTGCGCATGTTTTTAGTAGTATCGGAAACTGAAGCACCTGGAGAAAACCTACGCAGACACGGGGAGAACATGCAAACTCCACTCAGAAAGGCCCTTTTCCGGGATTTGAACCCAGGACCTTCTTGCGGAGAAGCGAAAGTGCTATCCACTTAGCCACTGTGCCGCCAGGGAATGTCATCTCTGATTGAGGTTTTTGACATTATTTAGTGACTTGCAACACTTATTTATAAGTGGTTTCATGTTTCAGGAGATTGTGTAATAATGACTTGTGTAGTCCACATGTATAGCATCATATAGCTGTATTATTGTAGTTTAAGTTTCTCAAACATAGTAGAAAGCAAGTAAGACGTCCGCCAAGCTAACACTCAGGTACACATTGATTGTAAAGTAGTTCTACATTTAGGCACCTATTTATTCTTCGACTGTGATTATGGTGTTTTGCAGACACTTTTTAGAATCCCTCAACATTATTTGTTAAAGTATTCAGATCCTGCGGTTCTTTTGGAACTGTGCAAAAACAAAAAAAGTGTTTTTGTAGCCCCAGACCTGGTACAACTAGTATTGGTAAGGTAAAGTACATGGGTGAACATACAGCGTTATGTACTGTATGTCGTCCCATGTGCTTCAGCCCATCGAGTGGAATACAATTTGTGATTCAATGCATTTGATTTAAATTTAATAACATGGGTTGGGGATGCTAGTGGGTCCTGAAACTATCACCCCCGCTTCCATCTATGAGTGATAAATTCCCAAAATACAACAATTGTAAAGCGCTCCGTGACTCTGCTTTGTGAAAGGCGCGATACTTTCTTACTTACCTAATACCACAAATTGCAAGGTGTACTAATGTGCTAATACTTTAGTGTCTGATGTTACCCATGTGTCTAAGTGTTCCATAGAATGATAGCACCTGAATAATAATGATCTGACCAAAGGTTTTGAGACAGATATAAAAGTAAATCAAAATGTACTTCCTACTGCTCTGTTAAAAATGGATAATGTGGTGAAGTAATCAGCATCAAAATGTTATGCAAGAATTTTGATGCAATTTTTAGGTAACTTCAAAAAATAAATGAATAAAACTATGCTTCTTGGTGGAAGTTTGTGCTCTACAGTGTTTTTACTTGTTTCTCACTGAATGCAAACTTATTTTAGGCAATTTTGTCAAACCTTGTAGACAAAGCAATCAGCATGGACAGTGTTTTACCCTAACACTACAGAGTGAACCTTTGAATTTAATGCAATCTTTTTGGGTTCCGTCTCTCAGCACATTTGGTTCTAGTTGTAACATATTTATGCATATTTGGCCACTGCCCCAGCTTTATACCAACTTTTTTCAGACAGAAAGGTGAAAGGAGAGAGGACCACCTTCACTCAACCAATCAGCAATCCATCCAAATCGTCAAATCACAGCACAGGCCTCTCTTTGACAACAGCATGTGGTGGTCTGAATTTTTACTTAATCCAAAAAAACACTCTTTCTGATGAAACTAACAACATATTGAATGAATCCCTCAATAATAACTTTGAATGGATAAACGAGAAAACAATATTACAACAGCTGAATTGGTGGCACGAGTCTATTATGTACAAAATAGCACTTCCCTTTAAATCCAATACTGATTTCAACATGCTGTAGTCAGATTTATTCACAACATTTTAGTTTTACAAGACTTTTTTTGGCACAAACCCAAAAACAGCATCTTATTCATTAAAAAACTTAGGAACCTCGGGCATGTTTTAAGTTGCATGGGAAAAAGTTACATATTTCATAGATTTCCCCCTAGCTGTTGCACAGATGTAGTTGTTTTTAAGATAAGATAAGATAGACGTTATGATCTACTGGAGAAATTTACTTGTCATGTTTGGTATAGATATAATCACTTTTTCAGACAGGTTGAGAGCATTACCCACCTGCCGTTGAGCAAGGCCAGCAGTTCGCCAGCGTGGTACAGGTCGTTGCGCGTCACCCGGCTGAAACGGAAGGAGTTGAGGTTGCAGAAGGTGACAGCGGGGAAGGGGATCTGCGCCGCCGCCACCTCGTCCAGTTTGGTCACGTGGGGGTACTGGAAGTAGAACTGCACCCGGTCCACGCACACCATGGCCAGCACCCCCAGCGACCCCAGGAAAAAGAGTATCCACAGGCTGCGCTTGATGCACGCCCGCTCGTACGTGAACATGTGCGAGATGCCGTGCAGCGTTGAGTGGCTGGCGAAAACTTCGATCGGGGCCGGGCGCTTGTACTCCATCTCCTCCGCTTCTTCCTTCATATCCATGGCTGCGCGTAAAAGCAAACTATACTGAGAGCTGGAAAAGTGAGGCTTCTTATCCCCCCCACACTAATGTAAGGGGCTGCTTTAGTTCACGCCCTGCCCGGGTTTCTCATGCGGTCTTGGGGAAGAGGTTGCGTCACTGACAGCTGGCCAAAAACCGAAACACCCAGATCATTTTACACCGTGAAGGGGATAACACCCAAAAGCAGGAGGGATGTCTCGGAGGGAATACGCATGTGTTGTTGTAGTTCTCTGTATAGTAGTGCCTCAGCTGGGGGTCACACATCCATAATGAAAAGCCTGCCGTATAGGAGCGCGCATGGACAGATGCCAACGTTGTCCTCCGCGTCTCTCTGATGATAAAAATGAGTTGGTGTGCGCACTCAGCGTTCCAACAAACAAACTGCTGGAGATGCTCACCGATGGAGCAATACACGGCGCAGCTGATGGAGAAGAGGGGAGAAAAAAAGAATCCTTGGTTTGTTCTGTTTTACAAGCCAAAGCTGTGTTATCACCAACCCGCTCGCCCGTATACCTCCACGCCGTTTCTCGCGTAATTCCAACACGTGCTGAATGCCAAATAGCCTGTGAATTCTTTCCCGTTGAGAGAAGCGTTCGCCTGGTTCGGGGTCCTGACTGGTCCTGATGCGATCTACATCAGCATCTGTCACACAGCCTCCACTGCGCGCCTCTGCCTCTTCGCATACATCCCCTCCACAACAATGCGGGCTAATTACAGCGCTCTTTTTGCTCCTTTTACGCCTTCCTGAGCCGACTGAGCGAGGCGCATGCACAAGCACGGAGCAGATTGGTGATAGAGGGAGAGCCTGCATGCAGCGCCTGTCCGTCTACACCGGGAGCCCAATGGGAATCACCGGTGTGGCTCGTATACGTGGTTTGCGCGGATCAATTCAGTTCGCCCCCGAGAGCAGCGATAGGACGCCATGTGTTTTGGACCAGGATCTGATATAGCGTGACCACCACAGGCTGTAGAGAGCCTTTAGTGTCTCCAGAGATGCAAGTTAGGAGCCTCTGACTGCATTAAGGATTGTTTGGCATTCAAGCCTGTTTTAAGCACTGCAAATGACAATGCTGCCACATGTCTTTTGATGTGTTTAGGCAAGGCAAGGGAAGTTTATTTGTATAGCACAATTCATACACAAGGCAACTCAAAGTACCGAACAAAACAAGATAGAAAAAATCTCACAAGGTATTACAATAAATACATAATGATAAATAATAATCACAGTAAATCAAAAAGAGTGAAGATAAAGATATAAAATCCCTCAGTTTCTGCAGCTAAACAGAACTGTTTTTAACCTGGATTTGAACATTGTCAGAGAAGAAGTCTTCATGAAGATTCCAGATTTTAGCTGCGTGAATCGGAAATTCTGCCTCCCCATGTGTTTAGTTCTGACTCTGCGGGCACCAGCAGGAGGCCAGTCCCTGTGCTCCTCAGTACCAGTCGCAGCAGGAGGCCAGTCCCTGTGCTCCACAGTCCCAGCAGGAGGCAAGTCCCTGTGCTCCTCTGTCCCAGCAGGAGGCCAGTCCCTGTGCTCCTCAGTCCCAGCAGGAGGCCAGTCCCTGTGCTCCTCAGAATCCGAGTAAAAGGTCACTTATGTTCTTTGGTGCAAGGCCACGGAGAGACATATTGTGTTTTTATTTACTGTCTATTTATTGTAGTTTTAATAGTTTTTACATTTTAAATCTCTGCATTGATCTTACACAGCTTAATAAATTAGCAAAAAATGACATTTGTACATTAAACATTGCAGAGTGGGTATTTGTCATTTAACAATAAAGCTGAGGTCCTTAAATCTAAAACCACAACAATGAAACATACAATAAGGTTAATATAGAATGTTTTTTGTGTGATTTTTTCACAACAATTTACTTGTTAAAAAAATCCAACTGGAATGCAAGGAGAATATAAATGTCCAAAACAGGCATGAATCCATTATAAATAAATTGGATACATGAGATAGGGGAAAAAAACGTACAAGTTGATTATGCAACAAGTAGCATGTTCCCTTAAAGGAATAGTTCACCGTTTTTACATACTGACATATGTTCTTACCTTACCTTAGACTAGTTAATACGTACCTGTCTGGTCTTAGTCCGTGCGCTCTGTCATGCAAACGGAGCAAAAACGGGAGCACAAATGCAGCCTCCTCTGTATATTTTGTAGCACCAAAAGGTAGCTCCCGCTAGAAGCTACCAAACTCTTCCAAGTGTTCCCTATTAAATGTATATAGTTACGTGACGTGTTACACTGCAAAGTATAGTAACACAGAAATGTAACAGTCGATTTTCTCAGCGGATAAAACGGGTACTATATTGTGAGGCGTAGTAATCTGAGGTGCGCTACGTCCGCGCACTAACTTCTCTCCGTACTACAAGTCACGCTGCTTCTATTGACGGAAGTGAGCGAGAGAGAAGTCTCCCGTGCTGGCCTCACTTCACTGGCTCACAGGGACAGAGAGAGCACATCACCCCTGTGCTGGTCTCACTTCACTACTCCTGTTACATTCAGGGTTGATTTTAAGATTCTGATGCTTGTTTTTAAATGTTTGAATGGTTTGGCCCCTGTATATCTGTCGGAGCTGTTATCTCTGTATGCTCCTGTCAGATCAGTGAGGTCTGAAAGCCAGCTATTGTTGAATGTACCTCGGTCTCGTCTCAAAACTTGAGGAGACCGAGCCTTTTCTGTTGCTGCCCCCAAACTGTGGAATAGTGACCTTTGTCCATTAGAGCAGCTCCTTCATTGGAAGTTTTTAAGTCTAGTTTAAAGACACATTTTACGCCTTGGGTTTGAACACCAATTGAGCTTTACCACTTTACTTTTACATGTATGTGTAAGTATTTTATGCTGTTTTATTATTTCTCTCATTCGTGCCTGTGAAGCACTTTGGGCAGCTGGTGTTGTTGTAAATGTGCTATATAAATAAAGTTGACATTGACATTGAGCATGTATCCATAGCAACCTTGCAGATGAGATAAGATAAGATAACTTTATTGATCCAACAATGTATGGTATTTACAAAGGGCTCTGTTGCCATGGCGACCCTTTGACGTGTCATATAGAATACGGTGATGTCATCTCCGGATTCGCTGAGATGGGACAGAGGCCAGGCCTGGACCCAGAGCAGAGACACCCCCCCAGACACAAGAGAGGACATTTCTTCAAGCAAAGTAAGAGGAGTAAGTTACGGTAACACAGAGATCATGGATGGTCATGAAGAGATCTCTCGCCTTCTTGAGGTTGAAAAAACCCTGGAAGAGCAGCTGAAAGTCAACGCTGAACAGAAGCAGAGACTGAATGAGCTGCAGCAGACGATCCACGAGCAAGACGCCAAAGTCAATGAGCTCGAGGAGTTCTTGGAGCAAAGAGACGCCCTCATCGACTTCGGGAAAGGTCTGCTCCAGAAAAAGGACAAAGACACCAAGGATCTGGCTCGGGAGGTCCGCAACAGGGTCAATGCTTATGTGGGAGACCTCATGAAGGAAAAGATTGAACTCCAGAATTGCTGTGTCTTCTTAAAGAAAGACCAGGCCTATCTGCGAGACCAGCTGGACCAAGCGGACGAGCAGCATCAGCAAGACCAGGATCGAAATGAGAAGCTTGAGGCTGAAGTTTCAAAAATGAAAAATCAACTGAAGCGGCAGGAACTGACAGAACAGGAACTCACACAGACTGTTCTAGAAAGAAACGCCCTCCAGAGGACAGTAGATGAACTGAAGGAGTTCTTGGAGCAGAGAGACGCCCTCATCGACTTTGGGAAGGATCTGCTCAAGGAGAAGGACAAAGACTCCAAGGATCTGGCTCGGGAGGTCCGCAACAGGGTCAATGCTTATGTGGGAGACCTCATGAAGGAAAAGATGGAACTCCAGAATTGCTGTGTCTTCTTAAAGAAAGACCAGGCCTATCTGCGAGACCAGCTGGACCAAGCGGACGAGCAACATCAGCAAGACCAGGATCGAAATGAGAAGCTTGAGGCTGATGTTTCCAAATTTAAAGACAAACTGAAGCGGCAGGAACTGACAGAACAGGAACTCACACAGACTGTTCTAGAAAGAAACGCCCTCCAGAGGACAGTAGATGAACTGAAGGAGTTCTTGGAGCAGAGAGACGCCCTCATCGACTTTGAGAAGGATCTGCTCAAGAAGAAGGACAAAGAGTTCAAGGATCTGGCTCAGGAGTTTCAAAATAAGGTCAATGCTTATGTGGGAGACCTCCTGGAGAATTACATCCATCTAAAGGTTCACTGTGTGGACTTGGAGGACGATGCAGTATGTCTGCAACAACAACTAGACAAAGCAGACCAGCAACATTTAGAAGATGAAGTTAGAAATGCGGAGCTGGAATCTGAACTCGCGAAGACAAAGAAGCTCCAGCAACACCAGCAGCAGAGGATCCAGGAGCTCGAAAGAACAAGTCAGGATCTGGAGGAGCAGTTGGACGAGGCGGAGAGATGCCACATTCAAGACGCGGTGGAAAACCTGAAGAATGTGGGTGAACTTGGAGAGACACAAAGAAAACTGAAAAAGTCTGAAGCTGAGAACGAGGCCCTGAAAACAGAGATACAGAATGAGCAGGACAAGATTAAGAAGAAGACAAAGAAGAGGAGCTGGTGGAAGTGTTGGGAGTAATCACCTCCAAACACCACTGTAGTGTTTGCATCTTGACCCTGTTTAAGCTAACGGGTTGAGGTGCTACACACTCAGGGGGCGGGGGCAGAGAGGAGGGGAGGTTGGGGTTTAGAACGCTAGATTAGATTGACTCAAAACATTGTCTAAAGTCACCAAACCAAAGTATGTGGAGAAAGGGGAGACAGTCTTCTTCTTTCAGGCGTGCAGGGTAAGGCCTTTTGTGCATTTACAAGAAACCTGCGCCAATGAAAGAGGAAACATCTCTGCTCTAGCCGTGATATTTTGGAATGATGATTTAGATCAACACGACGCGCGTTCACGCCACTGTCAGTGGATGATTTCCCTGCAGCGTTTCTGTCGTCTGTGCCTTCCTCGCTCACTGTCCCGTCCAGTGCAGTGAATGCAGAAGAGCTTGCAGACGCATTTGACTCGACCTGTGCAGTCATTCTGGACAAAGTTGCTCCTTTGGTGTCCAAGCGCCAAAAGCCTGCGTCTAGCCTTGGCTCAACGAGGACACACGTGCGCTCAGACGCGAGTGCAGGCTCGCGGAGCGTAAATGGAATAAGGACAAGTTGCACGTCTCCCTTGGAATATATAGAGACTGTTGCGTCCCTTTTATTATCTGGCTGTGTTCCGGGTGTTTTTAAGCAAGCTGTAGTTCACCCACTTCTTAAGAAGCCCTCCCTGGACAACACTATTCTAGCTAATTACAGGCCTATTTCAAAGCTGCCTTTTCTAGCCAAAGTGTTGGAGAAAACAGTTCTTAATCAATTCCAACAGCATCTGGACACAAATGGCATCTTTGACACATTTCAATCAGGTTTTAAAGCTCTACATAACACGGAGACCGCACTGCTCAGAGTGTTTAATGATCTGCTTTTAACAGCTGACTCTGGTTCTCCTGCCATTGTAGTTCTTTTAGATTTGACAGCTGCATTTGACACTGTAGATCACAACCTTTTAATTTCGCGTTTGGAGCACTACTGTCACGGTGTGGATTTTGTTATTTTGTACTTTGGTTTTATTTTGACATTTTTTCTCTGTGGTTTGGTTTTGAGTTTGACTTCTGTGCTGTTTCCCCTGTCTTGATTGTCTGCCCCGCCCTGATGTGTTTCACCTGTGTCCCTGTCTATAATTACCCTGTGCCCCTCTCCACATGTTGCTGGTCCATTGTTATGTCAATGTCCTGTTTCGTCATGTCAAGTTCTGTCTTTGTTCCTGGTTCTGTATTCTTGGATTTTGAGTTTAGTTTTCACCTGGACTTTTATTTTAATTAAATCATTATTTTTTGCATTCCTGCATTTTGAGTCCTCCATCACTTCACCTCGTGACAGAATGGACCAGCCACAAAAGGACTCAGCGGAATGCCCTTTTTCCACACCTGCTCCCAGTTCGTCATCCCATTCATCAGGTTTTTATTTTATTTTCGCCTCATCACCGCTGACCTCTCAACCTGTTTCTGGAACCACCGCCAGACATCAACCTTCGTCTGGGGTGGTCTTGTCCCTTTGTACCACCGCCGGGTATTCGTCTCCGTCCGGGGTGGTCTTCTGTCCCCCCCCCTGACATGTTGAGAGGTCTACAGTGACGCTCTGGCCTAGATGGTGCTGTCTGTCTGGATTTTCTACCCATTTTGGCTGCTACCCAATGATGACCTCTCCTTCCCTTCACCCGTTGCCACCGCCAGACATGGATCTCCGTCTGGGGTGGTTCTGATCCTGTTGCTGCGTCACCGCCGGACATTCGTCGTTGTTCGGGGTGAGCCAGACCTTTTGTGGAAGGTCATCACTGGGTTCTAGTTCCTGCCCTCGATTCTGTCCATCGAACATTGCCTCTGGTCTGTGGTTGTTCCTACCTCTGGACTGCCCCCTCCACCCTCCCTGGCTCGTGTTTATTTTCTGGGGACATCTGGGAGCTGTCCCTTGGAGGGGGGGTACTGTCACGGTGTGGATTTTGTTATTTTGTACTTTGGTTTTATTTTGACATTTTTTCTCTGTGGTTTGGTTTTGAGTTTGACTTCTGTGCTGTTTCCCCTGTCTTGATTGTCTGCCCCGCCCTGATGTGTTTCACCTGTGTCCCTGTCTATAATTACCCTGTGCCCCTCTCCACATGTTGCTGGTCCATTGTTATGTCAATGTCCTGTTTCGTCATGTCAAGTTCTGTCTTTGTTCCTGGTTCTGTATTCTTGGATTTTGAGTTTAGTTTTCACCTGGACTTTTATTTTAATTAAATCATTATTTTTTGCATTCCTGCATTTTGAGTCCTCCATCATCTCAAGCTCGTGACAACTACGCTGGTTTTAAAGGCACTGCATTAAACTGGTTCAGGTCCTATCTTGGTGACAGGTGTTTTTCTGTCCACTTTGGGCCCTACAATTCTGGCCTGGCACCCCTCAATTGTGGCATTCCACAGGGCTCCATTTTAGGCCCCGCTCTCTTTTCTTTGTATATGCTGCCACTTGGAGACACTCTAAAGCAGGGGTCGGCAACCTAGGGCACGCGTGCCACATGTGGCACGCAGCGGGATAAACACTGGCAGGCCGGCACCTCCGCATTATTCTCACTGTATCTGTCCTGTTTTAAAAATAAGTCTGTCTGAGCGCTTTTTGATGGCCGGCACTAGGACCCAGCGGACACCACCGCGGGGATAAGCTGTTTGCTTCCCTCACACACACACCGTGTGCAGTGTTGCCAACTTAGCGACTTTGTCGCTAGATTTAGCGACTTTTCAGACCCCTATAGCGACTTTTTTTCAAAAAAGCGACTAGCGACAAATCTAGCGACTTTTTCTGGTGTTATTGGCGACTTATCTGGTGTTTTGGCGACTTATCTGGTGTTTTGGAGACTCGTGAAGCACGTATTGTTCTGCTGTCCTCAACGTGAGCCCCTCCCCCGTCCCAAAGCACTACAGGCGGCCAGTCTGTCTCACAGTAGCCTTGCGCAGCAGTCCCAGCTACAGTCTATGGGCGGAGCAGAGAGAGAGAGAGGAGACTCAAAAGCACAGGGAGTTTTCAGGCTGCTGCAGACTGAACTTCAGCTCCACCACCACCACACATCCAAAGCTCCCCGGCCACTCCTACCACCGCCACCCCCCACTCCCCCCCACTCCATCCGCGGCAGCTCTGTCCGTGACTCTGTTTTCTCTCAGTAGTGGGTCACATTAAATCATTTGTTATGCCAAACTATGAAAAAAAAAAAAACTTACAAAAATAGACCTAAGTAACTCTGCCAGAGTGTGTCTTTTGGGTCACTTTGCCGGTCCCAAGCCCGGATAAAGGAGGAGGGTTGGTTGTAGAGCTAGCAATTTCACCCTACATAACAATCTTTTGATTACATTTGCTGTTATAACATTTAACAATACAGGACAAAACTGATGTGTGTAATGTGGATCTAGACAAAGCATTAAAATCATTAAATGTTGTTAATGTTGAAATAATTTTTGTACATTTGTAGTTCTAAACATATTTAGGGTGTTTTTACTCACTTTTGTCTCTCCCACGACCTTATTCCTCTCTCCTACAGCGTCCGTTACAGTTATTTGCAAATGGCAAATTATGCAAATTAGGCGATGACGTCATTTAGCGACTTCTAGCGACTTTTGGGACAGCCAATAGCTACTTTCCTTACTGAGGAGTTGGCAACACTGACCGTGTGTAGCTGTGGGTGAAGCCAGGAGCCTGCAGCTGCAGGTGTATGCGCGATTTAAACTTATTTTTGCACATTCAAAGTAGTAACTGGTGTGCCATTCACTGCAGACGCCTCCTACAATCATTGTGACACGCTGTTATCACTGTGTGTGTGAAATCAAAGAGGGAACTGGTGAGTTTATGCATTTTTGTACTGCACAGAGCTAGAATGCTAGCGCTAGCGATATTGAACTCGAATGTTGTTGTTCTCATCATGTTGTTTCCCTGTGTAGGCGACTATGCCTTTTCATGTGCTCATGTATGGTTACCAGAGCCTGAAATTTGCTTGTGTGCTCTTGAACCAAAAGTATTAATACATACAGTGGGGCAAAAAAGTGTTTAGTCAGCCACCGATTGTGCAAGTTCTCCCACTTAAAATAATGGTCTGTAATTTTCATCGTAGGTTCACTTCAACTGTGAGAGACAGAATGTGAAAAAAAAATCCAGGAATTCACATTGTAGGATTTTTAAAGAATTTATTTGTAAATTATGGTGGAAAATATGTATTTGGTCAAAAAAAAAAATTCAACTCAATACTTTGTAATATAACCTTTGTTGGCGATAACAAAGGTCAAACGATTACTAAAGGTCTTTACCAGGTTTGCACACACAGTAGCTGGTATTTTGGCCCATTCCTCCATGTTTCGGGGATGTCGCCGAGCAACACGGACTTTCAACTCCCTCCACAGATGTTCAATGGGGTTGAGGTCTGGAGACTGGCGAGGCCACACCAGGACTTTCAAATGCTTCTTACGGAGCCACTCCTTCGTTGCCCGGGCGGTGTGTTTGGGATCATTGTCATGCTGTAAGACCCAGCCACGTTTCATCTTCAAAGCTCTCACTGATGGAAGGAGGTTTTGGCTCAAAATTTCACGATACATGGCCCCATTCATTCTTTCCTTAACAGGGATCAGTCGTCCTGTCCCCTTAGCAGAAAAAACAGCCCCAAAGCATGACGTTTCCACCCCCATGCTTCACAGTAGGTATGGTGTTCTTCTTCTTCCAAACACGACGGGTTGAGTTTATACCAAACAGTTGTACTTTGGTTTCATCTGACCACATGACATTCTCCCAATCCTCTGCTGTATCATCCATGTGCTCTCTGGCAAACTTCAGACGGGCCTGGACATGCACTGGCTTCAGCAGGGGGACACGTCTGGCACTGCAGGATTTGATTCCCTGTCGTCGTAGTGTGTTACTGATGGTAACCTTTGTTACTTTGGTCCCAGCTCTCTGCAGGTCATTCACCAGGTCCCCCCGTGTGGTTCTGGGATTTTTGATCACCGTTCTCATGATCATTTTGACCCCACGGGAT